AGTTCAGTGCGTGACTTGGGGGTCAAACTTCGGTCAACACACACTTGATGTCAGCATCGCCGCGTAGCAAGTTTCGCAACGTACTTGAAGTTCAATTGTGCCCCAAAATGATGTCGACGATCACTCAATTGTCGCAACGCATGTTGTACCAAGTCCATGATACACCCCGTTTCGACTTTGGCTTGCTTTTTCTTCTTAGTGCATGTTCTTGTTCACGTAAATGCGACCTCTCACCAATGTATTAAAACACTTTGAATTTATACTTATGCGTGATTATATTTGGTCTACGCGAAACATTAATCTTTCTAAACATTTTCTGAGACCATGCATGATATATACCGGTATTCACAAAATAATGCGATCTTATTTTATATTATGTTGATCTCTACGTCTTTCTGGATCGTTTTGTGATTTTATTCCAAAGCTCAGGCAAATAAAATAATGTGAACTATTATAGACTAGTTTCCTAGCTTTTGGCTCAGCCAAATTGGTTTAATTTTTCATTAGAACTTTGTGATCCTTTTAATTTCCCAGTTCTTTGTGTTTATTAATGGTCTTGACAATAAGTGTGAATTGCTGTGTGAGCCCACCGCACACGACCGCGGTAACCCGGGGTCATGGAATCTATGCATAAATTTGCATAAAATGCGGTCGACCGGCGAGCACCCACCACCACCGCGTTAATGACTGCGGTGCACCGCCCGTTTGATTTCCTACTCTTCCCTTAAATACAATAGGAACTTATATCCCACAATGCATTGCATATATGTGCAGTAACTTGCTCAGTAGTACAAAACTTGAATTTGACTATAACTGCCCTAAAAGAAATAAATAATTGGTTGAATACTTACATAGTTTTTTTCTTCTCTTTTGGTTTCATCTTATTAAATAATTTAGCTCTGTTTTTCAGGATCTCATCTTCTTTAACACCAGCATCATTCCCGTTAATTACTGGAGAAGATTGGGATTTTGCTTTGACAGCTGAAAAGCAGCGATACATGTACGTGGGGATTATTAATGACTTGCACAAACAGAGCCACCTAGTGGTCAATATAGATTTTATTATCTTCACCATTAACAATCAAATACTGCATATTATATCTCTAATGAGTTCATACCTAAATACTTACCATTTTGCTTATTTTTATTTTCTTTTCCTTTTTCTTCTTTCTTTGGATCGATAATCATGGATGACACCGTCTTCTTTGATTTCTGGGATTGTTCAAAACTTCTCATCTAATGAAATGATAATACATAGTAAGCTGAAAGTCACATCTCATCTTAGATCACAGAGCATGTAGAGAATAGTGTGCCTAAAGTACATGTATCAGCAGCAAGAATGTGCAGTGTTCAGACATACAGGTTTTACTGTTCTCTGCTGAGAGTAGTGTGCCTAACACTCAGCATGTGCCAGCAATGGAGAGCCTAAATACTTTCCCTTCACCCATGATTGATATGGGAAAGGTAACATTAAAATAGATGTCATACAATATTTGTAACAGCTTTTAAATGAGATTACAAAGTTTATCTTCAAAAAACAATTCCAACCATAGAGACCACGCTTCAATGATTCAAAACTTAATTCACTTTTTACTCAAGAAATAATTTTGGTTAACAAGTTGGTGTGATGTCAGTGGACGAAAGCCGTGAAAATAATGAGAAAAGGTTGGGGTGGACCTTCTCCTTACAACATCATATGTATTTTTAAATTCACCTCAGATTTTTTTTTCTCGAAAAACTGTCCTCGTCCATGAAAAATAGGCCAATGGACTGTTGCTCAACAGCTATTGTACAATGTACAAAAGATTATTGCTGTATATGACAAATACCTCAAAAGGCAGTGAGTGAGATAATAAAACATAATGCTAAAAGTGGATTACTTTACAAAAATAACAGAAATATTCAATACAATTAAAGAACAGAAGATATCATTGGAAAATGAACAATATGTATAGTATCAAAGCAATGGGACTTGCTGTTTCCAACAAGAAGTTGAAAATATCATTTTTATCAAAAATGACAAAAATATTCACCAAAATTAGAGAATTAAAGATATCATTTTGAAATGCACAAATCTGAGAGAAGTTCACATGTAGTACCTATATATATGTAATATCAAAGTAATGGGACTTGCTGTTTTTAACAAGAAGTTGAAAATGTCACTTTTTATCAAAAATGACAAAAATATTCACAAAAATTAGAGAATTGAAGATATCATTACAAAATGGACAAATCTGAGAGCGGTCCACATGTAGTACTTATATATGTATTATTAAAGCAATTGGATTTGCAGTTTTTAACAAAAAGTCAAAAATATCACTTTTTACCAAAAATGACAAAAATATTTACCAAAATTAGAGAAATAAAGATATCATTACAAAATGAAGAAATCTGAGAGAGGTTTACATGTAGTACCTATATATGTAATATAAAAGCAATTGGACTTGTGTTTTTTAACAAGAAGTCAAAAATATCACTTTTTACCAAAAATGACAAAAATATTCACCAAAATTAGAGAATTGAAAATATTATCACGAAATGAACAAACCTAACCCATCAAAGCATTCGGGCTAGTAGTTTTCAAGAAGAAGTCCAAAAAGTATAACATTGACACGGACGACGACGGCAGACAATCACTCATATGATATGCTCCGCTCGACAAAGTCAACAGCGGAGCTAAAAATTAGAATCAAAGAGAGCTTAAAAGAACTTCAGCATGTTGAGGGAATAACATAACATGATACTTGCAATTATCTGAATTCGTAATACATGTACATGTATATACCAAGTTTTGTTGAAATATGTTGAATGGTTCTTGAAAAAGCACCCGAATAGCTTGAATTTCACTAGCTGATATGCAAATTAGATAAATTTATTAAAACATATTAAATGGTTCTCAAGATATCACCAAAATAGCCTAAATGTTGGTATGTAAATTAGGCAATTTGCATAATTTTCCACCAAAATCAATCATGTCTATACACATTTAAATATGTTGAGTGGTTATGTTTTCATTACAATCACAATAGACCAATCAAAGAAAACTTAGAACTCCCATGTGCTATGTGAGAATGAGAAACAGTTGACATTGGAAATAGTTATTAGTTGGTTGAAATTCCATTTGTAACCAATAATGACAAAAATATTTGCCAAAATTAGAGAATTAAAGATATGGCCATGGGATGAACAAATCTAGTAGATGTCAACACAAGGTACATACACACCAAGACGAAGAAGTCGAAAATAGAATTTTTGACCAAAAATGACCATTTTAAAATATTCGCCAAAATCAGGAAATTGAAAATTTTCCTACCAAATTAACAAAACTGATAGAGGACAACCCAAGGCATATGCACTATCAATATCAGCACTGTAGACCACTTAGTGTCATACCGTAGTAGCATAGAAGAAATCTTAGAGTTTTGGGGGGCTAATTTGCACAATTTTTGGCAGATCGACTTCTGATGAACAAATTACCATCTACACTCATCAAGACACTCACACACCAAAAATCCTGGAAATCCAGGCAGTTATGGCTACTAAATAAAATATGGCCTAGTTTATCTCGCCACATACCGGTTGATGAGGTTGGATTTCCAAGACTGTATGACTAAAAAAACTTGGAATTCTGACTGTACTGTATATGGTAAAAAAATTGGGCCAGTATGAAATAATTACTGAAATTAGAGATAAGGATGGCGGCACGAATGAGCTTATCAACACCGTGAATCAGGACTAGTTTGGATTTCCATTATCAAATATAAAATTTTGAACTTAGTAAATTAGCATACGAGAGTTATATTTGGAAATCCTACTCTGTATGGTGGCACAAAGGAACTCATCAACAGTTACACCATAAGTAGGAACTATAGTTTTGGATTTCCATCACTGTATGGTGAATGGTGATTTGGAAATAAAACTTTGTATGACTTATACACCCATAGAAATTATACCCTGTATGAAGTAAATACACAAGCTCATCAACAGGGGGGTGCAGATATAAACTGGAATGGCCCAATGAGCTACAGTACATGTACATTCTATTGGAAGCAATCAATGATCTCAATTAAGCCACTACAAACTTTTAAACTCTTTTAAAGTCTTGCTCACAAATTGAAATTGGTGAATTATTGTTATCAACCAAAAATTACAACAATCTAATAATTGAAGCACAGATTATGAAATGAATTTTCCTTTTAAATATTTGACGAAAAACTGTATTTTAAATGATAAAGTAATTCCTGCCTAAATAGTGTTTAACAAAATTACATATTATATAGAGATTACAATTTTAATTTCTGACAAACATAAAGCCCCCATCAAAATATAGAATTACGTATGATTTTACACTACATGTAAGTAAACAAATAACATTTTGAGATATAGTGAGAACTTTTTACCATAGGGACCAAGGTTTGACCTATAGTAGTAGTAGAAAAGCAGTTTTGTGACAAAATATTTTTATCTGGATCTTATGAATAATAGCATTAAATATTTAACTAGTGTAAACGTCAAGAAAATCAGATCATTTGTTTCACTAGAAGCCAACACATTTAAATCATGTTGTTTCATCATTTGAATCAGTCATTTGACAGAAGTCAGATCAGATTTTCCCCAAACTACTGTTCTGCTTGCTACATGAAAGTTAGAACCTCCATGATTACTGACCTGCACTGGTTTTCTAGCTTCTACTTTGCTGGATGATTCAGCCATCTTCAACATATCCTTGAATGTTGTTGTAAACTGATCAAAACATCCACTTAGATTACCTTGTTTCAAGTCATCCTTATATTTATCTCTGAATTCCTGATGAACGTCATCAATAAACTTGTCAATATATGACAACGTTAATATCTTTTGGTACGCAACCTAGAAAAAAACAGTAGCAGATGTAGCTTATAATGGTTGTGTTCAGGCTGCACCAAGTACGGGCTAAGATTTAAGCTAAATCTTGTAATTTTGCACATTTACTAAGCGCAATTGCATTCATGCACAGTAGGAAACAGTGGTTGGCATGGGCTAAGGAATGCCCAAATTTGTTAAGAATATACAAATGTTTTAACTATGATTACTCAGTACAGTAACCAGGAAGGCACAAATGTTAGCTCTATGTCATACAGAAAAAATAGTTATGAATATAGTAGTAAATCTTCCAAATGTACTTTGAATACAATGCCACTTTGCCCAAGCTAAACATTTGCTTGCACACTTTGTTAGCCCAGGCTAAGGATCTGGACTGAGTCTTAAAAACAATGCAACTAATTATAATACAAAACAAATACCTAGCATTTGGTGTCAATTATAGTTACATACATATCACATGTCACTCATTTCTAAAAATGATCAAGACTGAAATTGTGAAGGAATTATTTGAAGGACATAAAAA